GGTGCAGCTTTTACTTTGGCGGTGAGTGGTCTCTGGTTCTGCTGAAATTTGTAGGCAAGTTGACGTCTTCCATGCAAACTACAGGCGACCGCAGCAACCTGCTATTAACCAATCACAGAGAGTTCTTTGGTACATATTTCACCCAGCAACCACTCGCCAAACACTTAGGGAATGCATGTTTTCCCTTAGCAACCACTCTCTGGGCCTAAATGAATAAGATTAAATAAATAAAATGTATTTTATTATTTCATTGCACTTCTTTGATTTTTAAGTTCATGTATATCACAATAACACCTCAGACAAAGGCATTTGTGACTTCTCGTTTATTGTAATTAAAGAACCAAATATTTATATTCTTTATTCATGACTAAAGGGCTCTATTTTGGGACCCTTTATTTGTTTCTGACTTAGTTCTATTGGTGGGAATTATGAAAGTATGCAGCAATGAATTAAATAGAATTGTTTCTGTTTAACTTAATTTTTCACTGGTTTTAATAAGCAGCTTCTTAAACTTGAATTTCTTTGCTGGATTTATGTGTTTTTACTTCAGTTTTTAATGACTCCACTGATTCACTTACGTCTGTTAAGTTTTATATTATCTGCATCGTGTTATGTCAGAGTCTCTGTGGTGGAATGAAATGTGCTGTATAAATAAAGTTTAACCTGATTTTTAGTAGAACTGTAATGGGATGGGTTATTTTGCCTCACTGCGCTAGAGAAAGTCTAATAAAGTTTATTGTGATCTGTCTGAGTGCTTTCTGTAGACAAATGATGTAAAAAGTCTATTTGGGACAAACATTTCAGATTTAAGGTGTCAATAATCTACATCTGTCATTCCCAGCATGGCCTAAAACTCAAGATTGAATATTAAAAATGAGAATAAATGGCTGGTTGTTTGCAGACTTAATGAAACCAGCAAAATGGAGTGAGTTTCCCTCCATGCACGGCAGATTATTTCACAGTAATAAGACAAATAATCCCAGCTCTCGCCTTGGGAACGTGACGCTCATTAATGTTTCTACTGCTTCCAAACAGGTTAGTGTAGTTTGGATTTGTTTGAGGCAGCAAACGTGGAGTCACGACGTCGTTCTCGGTTAATGTTGTGAGACTCTTTAAGGAAACTGTGTGATGGAATTTTTTTCCTGGCTTTAATAAAAAGAAACGAGCTAATTAACAAATAAAGTGAAGTTTTAACTTCTCACATTCACCCACTCGCTCTCACACTCTTTGTTTCACTTTAGATTAGTTTGTTGCTCGGTTACATAACTGTGTTTAGAGGGCAGTTACATAAAAATATGAAAACATATTTAACACAAGGAGAAGAAGCAGCAGAGGTTCACCTTTGTATTAGAGCACAGAGAGAAATGTTTAAAAGAAAAGTTTAAATGTTTAAACTGAGACTGAAATTCCAATTTTCCAAGCAAAACTATTGATCACAGAGATTGAAGATCTCTTCATCATCATGATCATTTCTCTAACACTCAGCGATTTGGATTAAATATCTGAGGTAATTTGTTTTCAGTGTTCACCTCAAATTTTCTCTTTATCCTCACTGGTCTGTTACACCGCAGTTTTAATCTACCGCTGCAGTACAATCCACTTTTCCTGTTCAGACTTTATGCCCCTCATTTTCCTTTTCTCATTTACAGTCTGTGTATTTGCCTCTGGGATATAAACCTGTCTTCTTCCTGCAGGTTTATGTCTCCATTAAACTGTTTTTTTTAAATCTCCCACAGTCAATGAAAAGTCACTTCACTGATTAGGTGAAAAAAGCTTTAAATTATTTAACGTGAACCCTTTAACTCTGTGGAAATACTCGATGACTGACTTTAGTTATATTTATTGATAATTTATAGATTAATTGATTTATTGAACCTCACACGTGAAGAGCAGCCTCCTACCGTTTACCTTTGACATGTGGCTCCCTCTGCTGGACAAACCCTGAAACAGCAGACAAAACAATTTTTATATTAATTTTGCAAGTTACACCTCTAGGACAGGTGAATGAGCATTCATAGCACGCCATTTCACATTTACTTGCAGCTGTTAAAGCCGAGCAGAACATCATGGTCCAAAGGTCCTTCAGTAAACGACGAGGAAACTTTCCTAACCTGTTTACTGATTGTGAGTCTGAGAAAATGGTTCAAACTGAGCCTGATCTTTATACGATATTTACAACTGGGTTCTCAGTGGAGGAAAACGTTGCTTGCTGTTTGGATCCATCCAGTCCAGTGAGGCTGAAATTTGAATAAAATCACAGTTTATTTTAATTATTGGCTCCATAGTGGAGTTGAATCAAATTAAAGGTGGAGTTGAAATTAGTCTCATTGTTGATCTTAAGCAGATAATGAAGCTGCAATAAACTGACTGTTAAACACAAATATTGAGCAGTAAGCTTTCAGGACAAATTAATATAAAGACGAGGGTTCAAACAGATGAGACAGACCCAGTGAGACTGACTTGAATGGTTTCCACAAATAAACAAACCTCACTCACTTTAAACTACAGCCATGACCAGAAGTATTTGAACTGACAAATTAAAGCTCTGATGTTCAGCTTTAATCAGAGGGTTTCATAAAAATGCTGCGTTAACTGTTTACGAATTAAAGCCATCTTCACACAAACTATTAATACTTCTAATAATTTACAGAATAATTATGGACCTGACTGGAGGTTTGGCTCCTCGAAGATTGACACAAACACAAATAAACACCCAGGAGTCATGTTTCAGTTTCATTACCAGAATATTTATTTTATTCTTTTTCTATTAAAACACTAGCTGCCATATTTAATAAAACAGCCAACGGCCAAGTGCCTCAGTCCTCATCCTCCAATCAAAACTCCTCAGACAGGTCACACAGGTCTGTGGGCGTGTCCTTGGCTTTGCTGCTGCAGTGCGAACTAGCTGGCCCCTCCCCTCCCCCAGTGATTGTTGTTGCTAGTAGGTGGGCGGAGTCGGGCGTGGTCCCCTGGAAACCATCTCCATGACAGGAAGTGGAGTATTGCATCGTTAAGTGACGGCCAGCTGAAGAGGGAGGGGTTTCTTTTCCGTTTTTACCCCTTTTTGTTTTCCATAAAAATACTGCCTCACTTTTATGTATACATATTTAGAATACATATACATAACTGGACACTGGTGCCTCCTGGCAGTTAAAGATATGAAAAATTCAAAGCCTTAAAATAAAAACTTTTTGGGATGATTTTTTTTTTAAAAAAAAAAAAAAAAAACTTTAAAAGTTGGATTTTTGAAACTTTCTCAAGCTACAGCTATGAGCTAATTAGCTTAGCATAAAGATTGAATGGGCTTTAACAGGTAGCTTAGGTCTGCCCACAAGAAAAGCACCTCACGATTAGGATGGTATGTTTGTTTAAGCGGCTTTAAAAAGTGTAAAAATCAGAATTTCCTTGGAGTATAGTTTTAACTGGTCCCAACACAACAACGTGTATGTAGCAGATTAAACTAAACAGACCCATGAGAGCCGGGCTGCCAGTGTCCACTTCCAGTGTTTTTGCTAATGATGCCAATTATCTCCTGGCTGTAGCTTACAAGCAAGGTGGTGGTGGTGGTGGTGTCATGAGGAGCCAATTGGTTTGACTGTTACCGGGCAGAAAACAGAGTTGGGACAAAAGAGAAAAAAAAAGAAAAGAAAACAGAAAATAATGTTAAAGGTGAAGAAATAGGAAGTTTGAGAAGCAGAGAGCAGTGTTAACAAAAATTAACATAAAATAGGTGAAAAGCAGCAGGTGGAGCTTTCTACATGTGCTGATGGAGCACCTGGGGTTAAACCTGAAGCTACCTCACTAAACCCCAGGTTCTGCCTTTCAGTACAGACCTCCGCTCGGTGGGAAACTGTGCGACTCACTGTGGGGGGCTTTCAGTGCAGCAAGTAACTGTAATCTTTAAAAGCAGATACAGGCAGCAGAGTTTGAGTTTTTGATCTCCAGGCAGAAGCCTTGCAAGAATAACAATTAAAATATCAAACAGATCGCAGGAGTAGAAATAGGTGCAGCTATCCAACTATAAATCCATCCTATTAAATATTATGGCCACTTATCCTCAGAATAAACTGACAGTGAGATAAGCTGGGAGATTAAACCCTGAACAGGCTAACAGAGAATGACAGACAACATTAGCATCACCAATCATCCCAACGTCTTTGTAGCTGTATGGTCAGGGTAGTGATTGGTGCCTCCTGATCAGGTTTTAGCCAGAGCCAGGAGAATCTGATTTGGGGTTTTATTTACTTAAACATAACAGACATTTTCTGATTATCTAATCAACGAGAACTTGAGAAAAGTGCGCTGATTCTATTCAAATAAAGCAAGACAAACTGAGTCCCTTTGCTTTACCGAACAGCCATGCTTACTATGGTGTGAACCCCCAAGGGCCGATTATGAGGCAGCAAAACTCAAAATTATTTTTGTTGTAACTGTTCTTATATGGCAAGTGTCAGTTATTTCACCAAACTAAAGCTGACTTCTGCATGGACTAAGATATGATCCGACACAAAGGAGGAAAATCTAAAAAAAGAAAAAGAAACTATTTTCTTTTTTCTCCATCTTGAAAAAGCTGAAAACAATTTCAGACTTGAGTAAAACGTGCAGATTTGTAGTAGATAAATCTGAAATGGCATTCACCAGATTTCCAATTTAACGCCATTATCATCCAGAAAGACAAATCTGTTTTCTTAAATGCCACCTCAGATTTCTGTCTTTCAAATGACAAAAAAACCCCAAAAACGTAATGTCTTTTTCTTTTTCATTTTTAAACAGGCTGCCACCTCAGGAGAAAAAAATAACTGCAGATGGTGAAATATGTATCAAAGACTTAATTTAAAAAAAAAGAGAGAGATTTCCTGCCTTTTCCTCGAGGTATAAAGGGAACGTGTCCACTTGTGAAAGACCTCCCTGCAGTATGAAATTACCTGCTGCACTCTCACCTGTCTCTTTAAATTAAACCCGCTTTATAACACAAAGGAACCAAAGGGAAAAAAAAAGGATATTTTTTCCTCTTTTATTATGAAATAGTGCTACAATGTACATTGCATGTCCTCCTGACTGTCTGATGATGTGCTCTGGTTTGTAATGCTGGGGGATAAACCTGATAAAAGAGAGTGGGTTAAAGATATCGCCAGGTTTCAGAGAGGTGCGACACAGTGGGAAATAATTATCCATCCTGAAAGGTGATCACTTCCTGTGTTAAAATCTGGTTTCTCTTAAAAGCTTCTGGAGACAAAAATAGTCGATTCTTAAGACTGAGCAGAAACATGAGTCACTCAATCAGATGGACACTTTGCAGTGCTTGTGTCTGTGTATCGAGTCTGTGGTCCACTTCACAGACCAGCCAAATCAAACTGATGGAGAAGTGGGAAATTTAAAAAAAAAAATAATAACGATGATGAGGTAAAGAAGGAACAAAAATCTGAAAAAAATAAAAGGATGAAGTCTGTTCAGAGAGGAGGACAGGAGCCAGGATGTCCTCCCCGTTCAGTGTGTGCCGGTGGAAAAACCTAATGGGGTCAGGAGGGCCAATGGCAGGCAGGCAGTAGGAGAGACAGCCAATCAGAAGGCCTGCTGGGCAGGATTGTAGTTGAAGGTGGAGGGAACGTGAGGTCGCTCTTCTAGTTTGTCATATTCCAGATGAAATTCCTGAAAACGAGGAGGAAAGTGGTAAATTGTCATCGACTGTACACAGCGTTCATCATATTCTGTGTTTACTTTCAAAATGAAACTTTAGCTTAGGATTTAATGGGATACAAATGCATATTTTTATTTGATCCAATCACATGTTACTATTAAAACAGTTAGCTTTTTTTTCCAGAATATAATTGTTCTCAAATGTAGACTTCTTCAATAAAATCAAACAGAAGTTCTGAACCTCATTTCAAGCAGATCTACAGATCCAGGACAAACATCAAACATTCCTCCCAGAGATGAAGTCTCAAAAATACTTCAGTAATGATCGGTTCATCAGATCTCTATATGTTCTTTCTCTCTTGGAGGGGAAAAAAGTAGTAGAACCTTCTTCTTCACTTAGTTTTTCACCTGAGGAGCTCTTTTAGAGGCTGAGACAGGGATAGCAGCAGAAGGAGCTGCCCTTACCACCACACAGCTGTACGAATGCAGTCTTTAGTACTGAGTGTTCAAACACTCGGACCAGTTTCATGAAATCAAGATCTGAGAACTGTCAACCTGATCAAATGTAGGCAACACATCCTGGTGCTGATTTAAAGTGTGTGTGTGTGTGTGTGTGCGCGTGTGTGTGTGTGTGTGTGCGTGTGTGTGTGTGCGCGCGTGTGTTTGTTCACCTTGGCCACCTTCCTCCAGTTGAGGCAGTCGAAGAAGTAGTAGGTCCCTCTCTCATAGGCGTTGGTCTTCAGTGTGGGCTCCATCCCCGGAGCTCGAGTGATCCAAACCCGCTCCTCTTTATGATACCTCCAGTCCCTGTTAAACCTGGACACGCACACACATGCGGAAATGATCGCTTTAAACAGCTCGTACACCATCATAAACGCAGAGAGACATTTCAGACAGCCTGGGGTTCTTTTGGATGCTTTAATCTTTATTTGTAATGAAGATTAAAACATTTAAAAAAGATGAGAAGCTTCTGAAAAATAGATTCAATCATCAAAAAAAAAACATTTGCAGACTTATCTTAATATGGAAGGATGCATTTTAGGTCAGTATGGAAAAGTGGAGAGTTTGTTGGTGATGACAAGAAGCTGGTGAGTGGATTTCTTTAAAAAACTGATTGCACTGAATGCCAGCACAACAGGAAACTATGAAATCTTACTTTTATCTCAGTTTCAAGCAATTTTCTCATCCAAACATCAAAGTTATTTAGTTTCCACCCACGTGGTGACTGACTTAGTGTGATTAGGGTGCAGTAATGACCGGTCGCTCTTACAGTTCTACAGCAGCCAGCAGTTGTAGGAGGTCTCCTCCGTTCATATAGTAGAGATAAAACAGCAGATCTTCACCATACCGAGACAACTTGATAGCTGCTAACTGCACATGAGAGAGAGAGACAGATTAATACGGACACACTTTTCAGGAGATCAGTCTCATAACAATCATGTAAAGGACCTTTGGGGTGTCTTGTGAAGGAGGTACCTTGTCCCTTATGTGGATGTTGGTTAAATACTCTGAGGGAACGTGGAAGTCTGCAGGAAAAGAAAAGAAAAGATAAAATCAACAAACAGGACAAAATTAAAAGCTTCATTAGAAAAACTGCACAACTGGTCTGCATGTAATTAATGCAATGAACAGGCGTAGAGCATTTTGATGTTATTTAAGCAACTAAAATTAAATAAATTTAAACTTCAGTAAATTCAGTCTCACATTATAAAAAACTGATTGGAAAAAAAATCATGATGCATTAACTCGTTCAGACCACATGGAGGCAGAAAAACTCCAGATTTAAATTTCCTGCTGATGAAGAACTCAACGAGTCCTTATAAATATATATAAACGAGTTTGGCAAACACGCATTAAAAGCAAAGACTTTTTAAAATAAAACAGAATTAAGAATTAAAATCATTTAAAAACTGTTTGAATCAGCCATGATGATTGTCCTCTGTTGGCCACCGAAACTTTTAACATACAGCAAAAACCCTGAAGAAGAATCTGTGTTCAAGAGTTAAAATTTCCAACTTTGGTGAAAATTAGCTTCACTGCACAGCGTGAAAACCAAAAAGCAATCAGAATGGAAGAGCTCATCGATGCTGTCTGGGGGCGGCTGGAGTCAAGCGGTTCTTCACTGTCAAAGAAAAAGCTCTAACTCAGTGAGGGCTAACAGTCAGACTTCAGGGAAAGCCGTGAAAATGCGTCCAGAAATCGAGAGGACTCCTCCTCGCCCTGCTGGCTGTTTGGAGTGAGCAGGTTTTGAATGAAGCTGGTTTCTTACGTACGACCACATCAATACACTGATGTTATTAACATATCAGGTCAATTTTGCTTGTCTATTTTAATTCACTCTGCAGGCTGATTTGTCACTTTGCTGCTGCACTGACACTGACAGAAATGCCTGCGAAGTCCCAAAAAGAGTCAGACGCTCAGAGTTTCTGAGCCTGTAAAGGTTCCATCACCTCTTTGAAGTCAGAGTAAACTTAACATCAGCCTTCACATTTTTTCACAAAGTATCGTTTCTAATGGTGAGCAAATGGCTCTTCTACAGGTCTGTGAGAAAATGAACACTTTCATGCTGACTTCAAGGTCTCAGGCTACACCCACACTAGCCCAAATAGATTTGAAAATGGCGGTTTTGTCTGAAAACGCTCTGCGTCCACAACATCGCTTTCAGTCGTTTTCACAGAGTTCATATATGGACAGCGTCCATATTGAAACGGCAGAAAACTCTTATGTTCCAGTACTGTGCATGCGTCTGCCGCTTATTTACTTTCTGGCTCTTTGAAATGTCGCGGCAAAATGTCGAGGAAAAACACTGAGTTTTTTTAAATGGACTAACAATGAGGTGGAGTTGTTGCTGCGAGTAACAAAAAAAGTACAAAGTTGCAAAAGCAATAAGCATGTACAAACTGATATTAATCTTTAATTGATTAATTTTAATCTTTAAAATCTTTAAAATTGAGAGCAAACAAAACAACTGCTGTATAATGCCCTCCGCTATCTTAGTTTAATTGGTCACTTGATTGCATCACATGACTAAAATGTGTCACTGTTTTCGCTGTCCACACTGCGGTGCGAAAGCACCGTTTTCAAATCTCTGCGTTTTCGAGAGCGTTTTTAAAACGCTGCGTTTTCCTTGAGCGAAAAACGCGGTCTCAATGTGGACGGGAGGCCAAAACGGGGAGAAAACGAAAACGCATTCAGTGTGGACGTAGCCTCAGTCACTACTTCCAGGTTGGTGTTAAACTCACCTATATCCTGCGGTCGACATGGAGCCGATGCCCACGGAGACGCAAACTTAGGATAGAGATTCCTGACAGAGAGAGGGAGAGAGAGAGGGTCTGAGTGTGAGAACAGTGACAGGTCATTCAGCTGCTGCTGCGGCCATTCAAAAAAACAAACTTTAAAGACGCCGCTCGTCTCCAACTATAAATCGCGTTTGCATGTGCGACTCGTACTCAGGCGAGTTGAGGTTGAGGCCAAGTGTGGTGAGGTCTGAGCCCAGCGCCAGGTGGACCATGCCGGGGTCGGTCTCTGCTGCCCGGATGAACGTCAGCAGGCCAATCATTCCAAACTGGTCTGTTACCATGCCACCAGGGATATTGGTCACTCGCCCTGGGACAAAAAGACAACAGAGGATTGCGGATTAGCTTAAAATCTCTCCTGCTTGTTTTTTTGTTTTTTTTTACCCAAACTCACTCAAAGATAAGAAAATCTCCGTCTAATGGTTTTGAGTTAATTAAATGAAATGAATAAAAGCAAAACAAAAAAAACACTGCAAAGGAAGAGCTCCCTTTTAAGACGAAGTCCACCTGCAGCATCAGGCTGAGGGTGGGGAAGCTATCTGCTGTGACAGACTGGGGACGATGAGGATGGAGGAGAAATAAGGAGGATGAAAGTGTTCGGAGGTTCTTTTAATACACAGATTAAATTCACATTAACGATTTTCAGTTCCAGCCTTTTTTAATTTGGTTAAACACGTCACAGCTGGGTATTCAGAAACCTATTAAACCCTTTTATAGCAACATAAAACTGCATTTGTTTGGCAGACTCATCATCTGATGACAACATTTATGATTTTACATGTTCCATTATAGTTTCAGCTGCTGAATCAAAAGTATTTCCCTACAGTAAGGACAAACTAAGCTTTTCTTATTTTATCTCGAGTCTGTGATAATAAAGCTAATAAAGATAATAAAGCTCTTATGTCACATTAATTTCCTTTCTCTTTAAATTCTCAAAGAGATGACTCTAAACATTTTCAGGGTTAACATTCAGAAACAAAGATCAGCTGATGTCTGGCTTTTGAGCGATTATCTGCTCGAACTGTCTCACCGTCAGGAAGCACCTGAATCCCTTTCTTCTGCTGGTTGTTGTTGCTCGGTGCAGAGCTCTTATCGCCAGGGAACTTTGGACCATCTGAGTTAGAGGCTGGCTTTCCCGATGAGTTCAGATTCTGATTGGATGGAGACAAACGGGACAAATGAGGATGAGTTGGGAAGTTAAAGAAGCAGAAAGCGGATGACGGAGAGAGACAGAGATGTCACCGTTTTGCTGTCTTCGTTGGTGCTGGTGGGGTCTTTTGTTTGGTAGTTTGGCCCTGGGAGAGCTGGGAAATCTTCGTTGTGGATGGAGAAGTCCTGCGACTGCTCACTGGACGGCTTGGTTACCATGCCAACTGGAGAAAGTGACCAATTGTAGGACATTAACAAAACACACAACAGACAGACACACTGATCAGCACCAAATGTAAGATTTTTAAAGGTTTTATTGAATATTTATTGTGTTTGACCAACGGTTGAAAATATTCAGTTTACTATAAAACAAGGAAGAAAATCCACTAAAATAAGCGTTCCGTATTTCTCATCACTGTCCCCCAACGTGCTTCAATTGAAGTTAAAGCAAATATTCTAACAGCTCCATAAATGGTTTGATTTTCTTTACATTTTATTGGCTGCTTGACTTTTGTAAAGTCTAGACCACTGCGTAGAATTAAAGGACAACTCTATATTAGACAAACGGGCACAAACAGATAAATGTCCCTTCTGTATTACCGTAGGGAGCTCGACCGGTCAGCGGGTTGTGCAGTGGGGTGGGATTCGAACCTCCATCCCTCCGACTCCTGTCAGCTAATGCCGGGAAATCTGACAGGTCCAACCCCGTCACATTCTCACTGCCGTCTGAAAAGAGTTCAGAGAGGTCACATTACAGCAGGTTGGGTAACAGCTGACAGATTTTTTTAAAATTCTGATGTCACTCTGTTACCTGTGCCATTGAAGATGTTGTTGGATAGCGAGTTGTTCATGAAGCCTGGATTCCTGTTCACCCCGAACCCTGACATACTGACACACACACACACACACAGGTTTTACGTAAATTTCATACAGGTTTTTGCCATTATGAGCTTTTCCTCTCTATTGTTTCAAATCATAAATAATCAAACATTCCTGAACCCTCGTCTCCATCACACGGTCCAGATGTGCTGCTGAAAACCTTCCTTTCTAACAACACAGGTCAAAGGTCACATCTGGACCGCAGTGATGCGAGTTACCTGTTGATGGTAAACGGCTGCCGTGCTTGCTGCTGTTTGGGCATCCCGATGATGCTGGGTGACGACCGGCTGGGACTCCCCATACTGCCGCTCCTCCCTCCTCCACCTCCACGCTCTCCGCCTCCCATCCCACCTGACTGCCCCGTTGGACCCCCCACCTGCTGGTTGTGATTGAGCACGCTCCGGCTGCTCATGGGCAGTATTCCCCTGCAGGAAGAAGTTTGTGGTTTGAAGAAGAAGCAGAGACACTGAGAGAGAGTTCTTATAATGAGTGCAGACAGTGTGAAAGGTACCTGCTGGGTGAGGGGGGCGTGTGCATCGAGCCGGCATTGGGCGTACTGGAGAGCTGACCGGCAGACTGGTTCAGCCCGCTGCGACTCAATGGAGGAGCTGCACTGCTGTTCATGCCTCGCATGGGAAACCCCAATGCACCTACAGAGAGAGCAAGAAGACAAGCGTGAAAAACGAGGTTGACTCTCCCACGTTTTCTCTGAGATAACATCACAGTAATGAGTCGAAATTATTCAGCAGAAACAGGTCAGTGACTGTCAGTCTTACTCTGCGGGCCGTACAGGCTGGCTCCGAGCTGTGACAGCTGACCCGTAGAGGAGGCAGAGGAAGACGCCAGCATCTGAGGAGGACAAACACACAATCACACAGATCAAAACACAGGAACACACACAGCAGCTGCAGCAGCATGCTCTGTTACTGTCAACCACTCAGGTAAGCTGTGAAGGGCTCTGTGCTGCATCCCCGGGCAGTGAGGATGAATAGAAGAGGGCAGAGATGACAGGGAGACGAGCTGTCTGCTGTTTTTACAACAAGAGACTCGTTTTTCTTTGTTTTTGCTCGAGTTGTTTCAGAGCTCTCACCCCCTTGGACAGCGGTATCAAATATAAGGCCTGGGGAGCAGGATTGGCCTGGCATAACCTGGCCTGACCACTCAATGGCTTTGGAAAATGTGAAGCAGGGCTTAAATTTTTGCACTTTTAAATGTACTTTAATGCGCTTTTCCTGCTGATAGAAGCCTCCCCAACAGCCGTTCATACTAAATTAAAGTAATTAATTAATAAATAAACAACTAAAGGACTGGAAAGTTTCTGTTTTTCACTACTAAGTATAGAAATTCCAGATTTTTTTTAAATTACATTTTAAAACTGACATTTTCTGGGCAGTCTAGCCAATGAGCTACAAGAAGATTTTTTTTCTGTAATTTTACACATTTTCTTCCTAATAAGAATTATGCTGACAGCTTTCTTTTATTTATTGCAGCATATTTCTTTATCATTTGGAAAAATTGAGACATACTTCTTTTTCTAGTGCATGAAGTACAACACCTGGAAAAAATGACAAAAACGGCCCCAAGATATCATCTTATATTCAATACTGTGTACTTCCATCTGGATTTAGGGCATGTTTTTTTTTTTAACATGAGGATACTGAATTTCACACATGTGAATGAAATGTAATGCCATGGGGCACTATGCCTTATGTACATGTGCAAGACCCATAAAACGCCTCTGAAGTTTCTTGACTGGCTGAGCATGTCCAAACCCTCAAATGCAGTTTTTGACAATAATTATAAACCGCAATGATTGCTGAACGTGCAGGACTCACGTCTTTGTCCGCACGGTGAGGAGGGAACATGGACTGCTGGCTGTAGTAGAGACTGGAGTCGTCCGGGTAGTCACTCTCTATCCCTCCCTCCATAAACTTCTTCCGGTTAGCACCAAACATGCCGCGTGTCACCTGGGAAACAAGACGACGAGAAACAGTCAGACCAGTCATACCTGGACAGAAGTCATTCACTGTCATGGAACATTTCATGCTCTGAAACCAGAAACCTGCTTCTGAGCGTGCTCAGAGTCTCATTCAGGAACGACTTTTGCATGACTCACAAAAAATTTGAAATTCAATTTTTAAAATGAAAAACAAAATTCATATAATATTTAGTCTCACTGCTTAATCTCAGGTTTACAGGCTGAGCTGCACTGCTTACGTCTAGATTTTTATGTAATTGTTTTAAGCTTGTTTTTAAAGATACTTCTTATCATTTTCTGCCAAAAACAAAAAAATAACTGAACATTTTAATGTTTTTCAGCCTGATCCCAACTCCAACATCTGGATCAGGTTTCAGTATCTTCCCTGTGTGTTGTGCTGACAGCAGTGACAAATCAATAAGCTACACTCCTCTCTGTGAGGCTTCCTTGATATAAATATGTTGGTGAGCTGATGTTTACTGTTTCTCCTCTGAGTCGCACTGTGGTGGACCTCCTCACTCAGTGTGGCGCAGAGAGGCGATATTAATGCTGTGAACAACATGTCGTGTTACTGTCAGAGAAAAAAAAATACAAACTTAAAAACATGTTTTAGCAGCTTCTCTGACCGTTTTCAGCCATGACAACAGTTTAAGTGTTTAAGTAAGACCTTTTTAGAAAGTATGTTGGTGCAGCAGGTGTGTAATAGCTGTGCTCACCTGCTGCCTCGCAGCAAAGTAAACAGAGAATAAGGCTGAACTGAGAGATACCCGATCCAGGCTTCTGAGGCCGATGTGTGATCCAAACAGATCAGTTGATCCCTGATCAGCAGTTTGGAGCCATTTAGCTGCTACTACATCAGCAGCATTTCTCTTCAAGTTTTAAATATTTGCTTTAACTGAAAGCTCAAAAGACACAGATGCTTGGGAGGCTTTTACTGCATCTATGGCAGGGTAACCTGTTATTAGAAACTGGATTAATACCATTTCCTTCTCCCGTCTCACTCTGTATGAGGATGTGAACTCACTTTTAGGCTAAATGCTAAGTTCTGGTTAAGCAGCATGCACCGAAAGTGACATTACAGGTGCTAGTGCACAGTGTAATATCATTCGGTCACACCCCTCTCAAAGTCATGCACAGCGAGATCAGGTTACAAAGACGGAGATGTGACAAAAACACACCTAATCGGGGGAAACACCTGGTCAAAACACAAAGGTTTTACTGTCTGTGGCATGTAAAATGTTTTGAATAAACAAAATATCAGAGGTGTGATCTTACTTGATCAGAAAATTTCAGGGCAGCTAAAGCACTGCAGAAAAGGACTAGTACAAGTTTAAGTGTTGATGGTTCCTGATTTTATTCACAGTGAGAGCAGGGAAAGAAGAAACTGACTAAACCACTAATAAAAATTGAGTTGTTGAGTCTCGAGTGAAGCAGTTGCAGCTGTAGACTCTGATCTGAATTAAGACTGTCACCACAAATAAACCTGCAAAGCTGGACCCATTTTAACAGATGAACCTAGGTTGAAAGCATCCAAACCAAAAAGGCTCAAAACTAAAACACTGACAAAGGTGTGTATCCCACCACAGCTCCTCATACCTCCCAGAATACGTTTTAATTACAAAAACAGAGGAAAGCTTCCACTGTTTAACAACTACAGAAAATCAACCGACTACACATCTTCAAGCCTCTGAACGCTTAGTTCTTTTAACTTTCAGAGTGAAAGAAGTCTGCTGGACGTTTCTGTTTTTTACAGTAAAAGCCTCCACTGATCAACAACCAGACTGGTGTGTTTGTGAGGACAAACTGCACATTAGCCAAAAGGAATATCAAAACATCACATCTCATAACATAAAGCACCAGCTAATCTCCATAATGTGTCAAACCTTCCACTAAAACACAAAGCAATGCAAACAGAGATAAGCGACGCCTCCTAAAGCAGGTGCAATCCCAGCTAACAACGGTTAGCTGAGATCCTGCTCGGTTCTGAGGTTTCATAACGAGTTAAAAACCTCACAAACTTTCCTTTTATCCCCGCAGCCGAAGCCCAGCCGTCTGCCTGTCTGTCTGTCTCGTTTCTAAGCGGCGCTGAAGGCGCAGCAGTGTCGCAAAAACGGCTAATGTTAGCTTAGAGTGCTAAGGCTAGCGCTGCTAGTGTGCCTGATTAGCGTTAACTCCAATATTAGAATTTCCTGACAGAACTAAAGGAGCCGGCTTGTCCCGCCGTGTGCTGCTATTTGACTGCAGGTCTCCAGGAAACAGCAGTTATCAGCAAGCGTTATCTCTTTAGCGTTAAAAATGTGTCAGACGCTACAGCTATCTAGCTGAGCAACGCACACAGGCTAGCAGCTTCTGTCATAGGAATACATGGGACTGTTAGCATAGAAGCTAAGCTAGCTGTTGCATTTATGTGAACGTAGAAAAGCATCTAATTGGAAACCCGTAGGTCGTTAAATTACTGTTTAACGACTCGGTAACACCGGGATAGACGCTGCTGTACGGACAGAAAATGGGGCTGAGAGGAGAACTGCGGGCAGGTGTGCTTTTGTCCGTGTTTGGGCCTGCTGCGCCTCCGCTGTTAGTTCCCCAAAACAACAACAAAAAGCACCGAAACCGGGCCGCGCCGTTCAGAGCTGTACTGTACCCGACTGCGCCCTTCACCGGCTGGGTCTTTGCAGCGAGCACACAAACTCGGGTTCATTTAAAGGACCCTCAGACCCGAAACTGCCGAAAAAAGATTTTAAAGCAATAAAAAAGGAGCTCACCGCATCAATCCTTCTTCCCCGCTACAATCCAAGATGGCCGACATCTCACTGCCAATCAGGAGGATGTTGGGAAGGCTCCATCACTCTACTCTGTTCTACTCTACTCCACTCAACTCTACTGTCAGACACCAGGGCCTTCTCTTTAAGAGAAGATAAAGTTCAACTTCTGTTATGTTCACTTTAACCGGATTACTCTTATGTTCCTCTTCTGTTCCACTCCATGTGAAGTTGAATCAGAAATATCAACTTCACAGTGCACATGTGGCTGCTCTGCAGTGGATTATTTATGAATGTTTGCTACCCTAACTTTTCATTTTTTATTTTAATAACACAAAGTATCTGTTGACTTTGTTAATATTAAAAAAAGTAACAACGTTTGTTTACTTTTATCATAATTCCTACAGGGGTTTGTTCATATTAAATAAAAATATTCATCCATTACATTTTCTTTTACTTATGGGTCTGGGCCACAGGGGCCATCCTACGGGGTGGATTGCAAGTGGACTTCAAAAAAGAAGTACAAAGTTGTCCACAAAGCTGGACCCAGGTACAGAGATCAGCCAGTCATACTGAGCTCTCGCTTCACCACAAAAAACAAACAAACAGAATAACTCCCCCTAGTCCCGAAGATGCCAAGATGCTTAAACTCCTCCACTTAGAGAAGCAATTTGTCCATGACCCAGAGTGTGTGCTCCACCCTTAAGCTTGTTGGAGAGGTGCTCCACCCTTGGAGATGCTCATCTAGTTTCTTCACCCTCAGTGGTCAACATACCCCGGTGTGAGTTGGAATTCATCATTCACTGAAGGAAACAGAACTGACGATACCACTGATCAGGAGAACCTTTGAACATAATGTCCTTCAGTTACAATTATCTTATATCGATCAACCTTAAGACATTTTTGTGTTTTCATGTGGATATTTTTCAAAGTAAAAGCAAAAAAAATAAAAAAAATACTGATGTACATGTGGACTGAAGCCTCCTAATGTAAATACACAGGCAGAAAAAAACTAAAAAAAATCATCCTTATTTTTATTTTTATTTATTTCTAATTTTTGTGCGAAGGTTTATTGTCAGTGCTGTATCAAACAGTTTTAATTTGGCTCTAGTTTATTGTAATAACCTTGGTCTTCGTATCCTTTTTACATTGTATGAATATACAATGTTAATATAGTCTTACAACCTAGTGTATTTTTCGAAGTCCTTTGTGTTTCACATTTCCCTGAGATCTTGTTTGTCACAGAGTGGACTACGTTTTTGTTTCTGATTGGACCATCCCGCTGAAGCGCAAGCTGGCCAATGAGCGATCAGGAAGAGGCCGATGGCGTCGATATAAAGTGAGACTCTGCTGCTACACAGTATCCTGTTTCTCCTCGGCGAACGGAAAAAGATCTAAACATGTCTGGACGTGGTGGCAAAAGCGGCAAAGCTAGAGCTAAAGCAAAGTCTCGCTCCTCACGAGCCGGTCTTCAGTTCCCTGTCGGTCGTGTTCACAGGCTGTTGAGGAAGGGGAACTACGCAGAGCGCGTCGGTGCTGGAGCACCAGTGTATCTAGCGGCTGTGCTCGAGTATCTGACCGCTGAGATTCTAGAGCTAGCAGGAAACGCTGCCCGCGACAACAAGAAGACCAGGATCATTCCCCGTCACCTGCAGCTGGCTGTCCGTAACGATGAGGAGCTGAATAAGCTGTTGGGTGGAGTGACTATCGCTCAGGGTGGTGTGCTACCCAACATCCAGGCCGTGCTGCTTCCTAAGAAAACTGAGAAAGCGAAGTAAACCTCCAGTATTTCATAAAACGGCTCTTTTAAGAGCCACACAAACTTAAGAGTTCCTCTAATCACAACCCCCGCGCTAACATTTGTTCTACTAATGTGAATTACAGTCTACGACACACTGATTATTATTTATTTTATTTTTTGGTCAAGTAACTCAAATAGAGATTAAAAATGTTTATTGTCATGTATGACGAGAGGGGTGGGGGTTCAAATTTATAATAATAATTACAGAAAATACACCACACACAAAGTGTGTTTGCATGTAGCACACAGCTGTGGCTCGCTGTCGGTCTATATGAATCTCAGACCATTTCACTGTGCAATAAAAGCAAAAGAGCCATAGCTTAATGTGCAGGATGACCTGACGAGACCAGGAACTAAAGCTAAACCCATTTTAATAATTTCACTTTTTAAATAATCACCTCAGATTTACCAAGATGGCTGGCTGCATCTATAAACTATTTAAGCACAGCTCCCAGTGTTAGAGCAGAGTAGCTATCTCCAATTTCAGTCTAAATTAATTCACAACCAGTAACTCAATGACGTAGTGCGCCGAGAGCAGATGTTTTGCTTTCCCAACCCGGAAATGCGCCTAGCCTGTGAGAAGCTGAAATTGAGCCAATACTTGGTTGTTCTCAATTACGTCCGCGAATCGCCTTTAAATTACGGGGCTGGCTGCTCTTTCTCCACTAGTGTTTCTACACGGCTTCGAGAAAATGAGTGGACGCGGCAAAGGAGGCAAGGGACTCGGAAAAGGAGGCGCTAAGCGTCACCGGAAAGTTCTTCGTGATAATATCCAGGGTATCACCAAGCCCGCTATCCGCCGTCTGGCCCGCCGTGGCGGTGTGAAGCGTATTTCCGGTCTGATCTACGAGGAGACCCGTGGTGTGCTCAAGGTGTTCCTCGAGAACGTGATCCGTGACGCTGTTACCTACACTGAGCACGCGAAGAGGAAGACTGTGACCGCTATGGACGTGGTGTACGCTCTGAAGCGGCAGGGTCGCACTCTGTATGGTTTCGGAGGTTAAATCCACAGCTCGACTCCCCAACACAACGGCTCTTTTAAGAGCCACACACTTCACTTTAAGAGCTTTGTTCTGCGATTTTTTTTTTGTCGTATTTTGGAGGAAAGTCCTGAAAATGTTAGTAAAATATCTGCCAGTATCGCCCACTGACTTCAGGAGCAGTAGTATGTTATAACTTCACAAACTATTACCATATGACATTCCCAACATATTAAAATGGCTTTTTTTTTTCTATAGGGTATAAGATTATGGTGTTTGTAATGTGTGCTTTCCTTTACAAAATTACAATAACTGACATAACCAAAAACTGAACTTCAAAAGTTAGACCTATTCAATACCACTGTTATATAAACTCCTATAGCAGGAGTGTGAACATTCATAGACCAAGTGAAAGAAAAACGATAGATTTCACTGATTTCTCAGTTTATTTGTAAATGTCTTCTTGCCAGAAATTCGCTTAAAGCAGAAGTGTTTATTTAGTAGGGTGTTTGTTTGTTTTTGGGTTTTTTTGTTTGTTTTTTTTAAGATGACCAACCCACCTTTAATCTAGTACAGGGTGGACATGAGTGGATGAAGCTCTACGAAGCTTTTGAAACCTCTTCCTGATGTCTGCCTGAAATATCATTTTCACCAATCATATCAATGTAACAGTTCTGATGTGTGATCTTCCTTTCTCCACAGGCTTACTCAGCCTACAATCCTGACATAACCTTCATACAAGGAACATTATCAAAGATATGTTTTAGTACCCAGATTTTATGCACTTGAAATGCAACATGTCTGTTTAAACTGCAAACAAAGTATCAAAGGCAACTGTAAATGATCTGTGATGAAATGACCCACATCGCAATCAAGAAGTTGGTTTTCTACATTTAATTGACGTGCTTCCAGGTTAAAAAAATTAATTAAAAACATTTAAAAAAAGCTCCTTTGAAGGAGCAGATCAGAATTACAGAAAATACACCACACACAAAGTGTGTTTGCATGTAGCACACAGCTGTGGCTCGCTGTCGGTCTAAATGAATCTCAGACCTAAATGAGAGTTTGTAGTGATTGATAGTTATTATTATAAGTCTGAACCTCTTTAATCTACTACTTAATCTGTCTTATTTTTAAGTTTTAGCGCAAGTACTTTAAGGAACAAACAATGAGACAATGTTTATGCTCTTACTACACAGATTTCTGTTTTTACAGCAAGTTAAAAAAAAAAAAAGTCTAATAACTTTACAATTTAAGTTAGTCAGATTTTTATTCATGTAGTAAAACAGCTAAATGTATTGCACACACTGATAGACTAACAGGGCTGTCCCACTTCAGTTCTAGTGTGAACATGAGTTTGACACCTATGGATTAAAGATTTAGTTTAATTACTTTAAGCAAGTGTAGTTGGTTGAGGACAGTCGCGGGATTTTATTTAGCTTTCTCATTCTTCTTGGCCTGGATGTTGGGCAGCACAACACCCTGAGCAATCGTCACTCAGCCCAGCAGCTTGTTCAGCTCTTCGTTGTTGCGGACGGCCAGCTGCAGGTGGCGGGGGACGATCCTGGCAAGAGCGTAGATTTGGTTTTGGCATTGGTGGGGACGGATGATTCAACCACCAAACCCTGCCCTGCTTTTGTCTTTGCTTCTTGATAAAAAGAGGAGAAATATACTTGCCTACATATGCTGTTCTACATGTTTTTAAACCATTTAAAATTACAATTCATAGTTTTATATGTGAATTATAAAATGTCAAATTACTATTAAACAAATGACTAAGAATTTTGGACTTTAGTTTACTTCAGCCATATTCCATCAGGTATCATACAAAAATAAAAAAAAAAGCTTCAAATACAGTCATGACAATAAAAGAATATGACTTTAAGGACTTAACAACATTACTTCAGTTATACTACACCAACATCTCTTATACATTAGCACTAAGGGAACACTGAATGACCTGCTGGTTTTTGTCCATAAAACTACTCATCTAAGATTACCACAAAGTAAAAGATCTCTCAGCAAAATTATGCAACATTTTAGGCACACTATTGCCCCGATCAAATCAGTGAGCTGAGATTTTCTATTCTAAACATGAACTACTGTTACAGCAACAGACATGGACTACTGGTGCCCCACACAACAACTCAATGTCCACTATGTGAAGGAGCCAAACACATTCCTGCTCCTCTCGTTAACTGCTGGCATATTGGTTTTACATCCATACTGTCCAGTCGCTCCTGGTGAACATGGTATACAGTAGCATTGTTTAATCTCATTTGAGTCATTGTTGACCTTAGCCATGTTTTTAGTGTTGTGGGAGCACTGAAGCTTCTTTCAGCTGCAGCCGAGGATACTAGAAAGACTAAAAGCAGCCTGAAAATTGTTATGATAATAAATACTAGTTAATCTATAGCACTAAATCAAGGTGACAAGGTCACAGTCAGTCCTGTGACCTTGTCTCTTCACCTCTGTCTGAGCTACAACATGGCAGAGCTGCCTCTGTCACCTGATAAATAACAGTGAGACATTCCAAATACATGCAGTCACATATGTGCTTCAAATACAGTAATGAACCAACAAGTCATCCTCCAATTTCACCTGTGATCTTGAATCACCATTATTCTCTATCACCTGACAAATAGGACATACATGACAATAAGAATAAAATGAGTAGCTGCTTCAGTGTTTCTGTCAATTTGTGCAGATCTTGACTCATCAGTAATGTTTGTAGGGTGAGTGCATTTTTAAAACAATTTGTGCAAACTGCACTACAAGGTGGAATATTTGCAAAATCATGACAACCTCATGATATTTTGTCTCAAAAATTAACCCTATGAATATGTCAGTACCATTAAGATGAAATTGTGTCACCAACATTTTAACGTTAGACATAAATTTAACAGCCTCTGTAAACTAATGTTAGGCTTACTGTCATGTATATAGTATTTTATAGCACATTTAACCAATAGGAGTTTACCAAAGGTGCTTGAGAGCACAGGGTCTATCATGTTGCTGAGCACAAAGCACTCCAATGACAGAGATACAACAATTTATGCTAAAAATTAATGAAGCATTTTTGTAACTGAAGTCAGTGATTTCCACGTTCATGCCGACTGTAGTTTCTAGTATAGAAAGAGCATGAAGATTGAAGTGTGCATATAATATTGATGTAATAGTAAGAAAGGAG